TGTTTCGTTCTGCTGTGCATGGAGCCGCTATGAGTCGGTTCTGACTTGATGGCACCTGACAACAACAACAATGTGGTTCAGAGTTCTGGGACCGTCCCCTGAGCCTGCTTGGTCAAGTATTCTGTGTTGTTGTTGGCGGAGCTCCTTTACTGCATTTCCACCCGATCTGCCATCTTGTTTGTTCTCCCCGTTTCAGGTAATTCTTAAAATAAGTTGTGCTTTCTCTGACTGTTTGCTATTGTTATACAGAAAACCAAACAAATGCAAGGCAAACATTCTGATGTCTTCAAAACATGATTGTTTATAAATTAGGCTAACACTTTTAGCTAAGTCATAAAATCCATTAGCAATCAGAATCTTTCAAAATATTACCCGAATAAGTCTATTTACAAAAACTTACAGTACTATGTGCTATGGATTAAATTGTGGCTCTCCCCCAAAATATGTGTTGTAAATTCTAAACCCTATACTTAGAGATGTAATCCCATTTAGAAATGGGACTTTCTTTGTTAAGTTAATAAGGCCATGTTAGTGTGGAGTGTATTTTAAGCAAATCACTCTTGAGATACAAAAAACCCCCACAACAGATTAGACATGGAAACAAGCAAACGGGAATAGAGGAAGCCCTCCAGTAACGTTGTACACTGAATTCACACTCCTAGCCTTCTAAACCATGAGAAAATAAATTTCTGTTTGTTAAAGCCACCAATTGTGGTATTTTTGTTACAGCAGTACTAAGGGTCTAAGGCACTTTGAAAAGAGGTGAAGTAAATTTGTGCTCTGGAAAAGCAGTAGCTCTTTGCTACTATTTAGGTAGAACATGGCAATTTGACTCACTTCTCACCAGCATTTATTGCATAAATACTAATTAAGAGTAAATGTTAGAAAATTTAGGCTTTTTGGTAAATATAGCAATAAGACTTAATACAATTCTGTTAGTTATTTAATGTTAAAGTTAAGATGACAATAAATATTAATGTTGTTGTTTGGAGCTGGACAAGACAGTGTTTCATTCTCAACACTTTCCCCACAATCACTGTTAAGCTTGAGCCCATTGCTGCTGCAACTGAACCAATCTATCTCATTAAAGGTCTTCCTCTTTTTCACTGACCTTCTACTTTTCCCAGGATAATAGCCTTCTCCAGGGGTTGGTCTTTCCAGACAATATGTCTGAAGTATGGGAAAGAGTCTCATAATCCTAGTTTATAAGGAGCATTCTGGTTGTACTTCATCCAACACAGACTTGGTTTTTCCTCTAACTGTCCATGGTATGTTTAATATTCTTCTTCAACACCATAACTCAAATACATCAATTCTTCTGTGGTCTTCCTTATTCATTAATCCAAATTTCACATGTATATGAGGCTATTGAAAGTATTATGGCTTGGGTCAGGCACACTTTAATTCTCAAACTGACATCTTTTTCTCTTAAACACTTTAAAGAGGCCTTATACCACAGATTTACCTAATGCAGTATGTTGTTTGATTTATTGATTGCTGCTTCCGTGAGTGTTGGTAGTGGATCTAAGCAAAATGAAGTCTTTGACAACTTCAGTCTGTTCTCCATTTATCATGATGTTACCTATTGGTTCAGTGTTGAGAATTTTTATTTTATTTACATTGAGGTGCAACCCATATCGAAGGCTATGGTCTTTGATCTTCATC